TAGAATAGTATGGCTTGGAAGGGAAAAAAGGCACACTTACGGGTATTAATGCAGAAGTCCTTTCTTAGAAGAGATGACATTTTCTGCCTGTACCCCTCCTGAAAGCAAAACCAGATAGCTATGAAAGACCGGGAGGAATACTTAAGCTCCTTAGATGAGGTCAACTTCAAGTCCATTCAGTTTCCCTGTGACTCTCTTGTGAGATCCAGAAGAATTGGGAAAGGGAAAATTTGACTGTCTGAATAGGAAAATGCAATGAAAATATGCCTTGGAAGATTTGATAGTGGAAACCTTTCACAGTAGAATTTCTCCTTCAGTTTCCCTTGTTAGATGGGTGATACAGTCCTTCTCTTCCACTCACACTGAGATCTTGAACCACAGAGAAATTTCTAATTTACCAAAACTATATCCACCATTACGTTCTGCTAATCAATACACAAAAGTAGCCATAAAGAAAAAAGATAGAAATAACTACACAAACCCTAAAACTGTGTTCTGCTGTACCTTAGAGTGCAAAAGTGAACACTGAAAGTAGAAATAGCTTATTATAGGGAGACATGAAATATTAACCCCATGAATAAAGAACTGGACGGCCTGGCCCAAATAGTGGTGGTGAATGAACTGCGAGACTAACTTGTTGAGAATTGCAAACTAATTGAGAGCTGGGAAATAGACAACAACTGTTGACAAGCTGCTAGAGACTAACCACTGAAAGGAACAGATGATGGCTTCATTAGAAGCAGGGGGTATTCAAAACCAAAGTAGGAGGCAGCAAGTATCAGGTGAGAAGCTGCATAAGACAGAACTCTGTTTTAGTAACAGTTTTACTGAGCCAGGTGGAAAGAGCATTTTTTCCTAATGATATAGTGACAAAATCAAGGTATGGGGCACATTCCAAGAAGTCCTTCAAAGCAAGGATGGAGAGGATGGTCCACATACATGAAAGCTTTAAATACTTTTTGAGAGATATACGAGTGTTATTAGCTTTATGGGACAGCAGAAAAATGTTAGTGTAAAGGAGGTCTTGATTGGTGCCTTGCCACACATAAATAACACCTTGCAAATCTAATATTCACAGTAAAATATTTGGCCACACAACAGAGAAAACCGCAATTCCATCCTCGTCTCTTGGGAGCCCTCTTCTGAAAGACTCCTTTAACAGTTGAGCCCACATCCCTTTCTGTTAGTACAAACAGGAGAATCAGCTCACCGAAGTTGATTATTGTTCTAACTGAACACTCAGATCAGGTACTTGCAACCAGTCCTCTAACTGCTTCTTTGCCAACCTTTTCTCTTAAATCCTTGCTTATCACAGTGGTAAAAATCACTGAATCAATGAAAGAAGGACTTACACATCTTTTAGCATCAGGAAAAGAAATAACTGAATCCAAATCTGAAGCTATAAGTGATGTTTAGTGGATTAATCTGATTTAAACCAAGAAAGTCAGACTCAGGTCACACTCATTAAGAGGAATTTAATTTTGTTTTCTGCTTTTTAAAAAAGCTAGGAAATACATGACCTCCCTGCCAAATATTTCTCTATTTATAAGCATTTTTAAAGGTGCTGATTACAGTGCTAAATGTTAATTTACTGTAAGGTTAGTGAGACACTGAAGCAGGTTGCCCAGAGAAGTTGTGGCTGCTCCATCCCTGGCAGTGCTCAAGGACAGGTTGGATGGGGTATTGAGGAACCTGGTCCAGTGGAAGCTGTCCCTAGGCTGACTCAGCTACAAGTTACACAAATCCAGAGTAAAAAACAGTTACTGTCACAAGAACAATATAAGGGACACTAATAGTTAACATGGATCTACATAAGGAAAAAATGTGAAACAGTGCTAGTCGGCATAACAGAGGGGAGGTGGATCACAGATACCTTAATTGACAAGAATTGAAGGGAAGATTTGAAGCATGACAAAATAATAAACATTTTAAATTTTCAGACGTTTATTAGGATCATTGCTCAAGAATGAGAGCCATCATAAGGAAGGTTTGATTTGTTTGATGCTTGATATGATTAATGTGTCAAAAATAATGAACCCTGAATAACAATAATCCTGGGCACTTCTGAGAGAAAAGGTTTTACTAAGTTCAGTGGGAGAGGTCTGGTGGAGCAACAGGAGAAGAAAGTGAGGATATAACTGGAAAAGTAGACCTTCAGAGTTTCAATCATACAGAAATGAAAAGGAGAAAGAAAATGGAGAACATACTTGTAAAGGCACATGAAGCTAAGGGGTGCACATGCAGTTTGTATTAAGATAGCAAAGGCTATGATTGTATTGTGAAGAGAAAAGCTCAAGCATAGTAAGAGAAAGGACAGGGCAGAAGAGGGAAAATACACAGATTCAAGGCAGATTGAGGACAAAATACAGTGGTATTGAGGCAACTGGAGGTGATTAGAGAAGGACTCAGGAGCTTGCACCTGAATCAGGGGAGCAGATGGCTTGCAGAACTATTACAAACATTGTACAGCAATCTGAGATGGAGCAGGAATGTCAAATGGTCAGTTCATGGGGGAAAGGCGTATACTGGTTTCACTGGAAAAATTTGCTGCCAGGATTCAGAGAAGTCAAGAGTAAGGGTGTAGAAGGTTTCAAAAGGGGATGCAAGGTGAGAAAAGCATGGCTGAGGTTGTAGGCATGGAAAAGAACTGTTTAGTCAGGAATACTGTAGAATGGAAATAGAAGGGAAATTCTTTTGCAGTGAGGGGAGACACGTGTGGAGAAACACCTTTCACTGAAACACTGCTGGGTATATTCACAAGTGCAGCAAGCTGAATGCTGAAAGTGATTCTGAGTTGCAGCTTAGTAAGGCAGACCATGCAGAGAACACATTGAAAGAACTGACAGTAAAAGAGAATTGAAAGAAAATAATACATCAACATAGAAGTTAAAAAAACACCCCAAATCAACCAAACAATCAAGAAAACAACAAACAAGACCCTCCTTCCCCTAGAATTGCCTGAGAGTGGATGAGAGGTTATCTTCTATCACCTGTAAGAAATGATACGGAAAACATCCAGCAAGAAGGCCTGTGGGTGACAATTACTTCAGTATCTTGAGAATAAATACTTTCTTACCATGTGTTCTCTAGGGTGGAGAAATTCCACACTTCAATTCTATTGATTCAGAACAGGAGTACATAATGATTACATTATTTGTGTGAGGCAACACAGAAAACAGAGCAAAACATTGACGCCAAGATACCTGAATCCCAGGTCAAACAGTTTGTGATCTAATAACTGTCTGTTGGCTGGTAGAGACAGAAGTTTGATATCCCCCTACTCTCTGCAGTCTCTCTTCCTTTTCCCAGTATAGATCTATTAATGGAAAAGCATCTCAATTAAGATGCTACTCAAGTGAAACAGCAGATTATGTCTCAAACTATTTTGCCTTTCTAAGTTTTCTGTATTCACTATGAACTCTGAAATGGTAGGAAAAAAGCAAACCCAGAAATGGCTCACTGAGCTGAGAGGTGGGCAGAGAGAAAAGCAAACTATGTCTCAGCACATCAGAGAATTTAATCTCATAGAATAGAGAAACAAAAGGTAAAAATTCACTATTTGTAAAGTATCTACCTCTGCTAACAGCTAATTTAGGCCCAGTACACGTGCTATGCAGAGAGAATAAATTCTTATGACACAAGTCTGGATTCTAGGGCAGCCTGGTAGTGAGATTGAAGCAACACACTGTTTGCATACATTCCTGTGGTTCTGCTCTTTGTTTTGAAAAAAACATATTTATGCAGTTTCACTAGGTGCATAAATATCATATGCAAATAAATGAGGAAATACAGCCAGGGTGACTAGTTTATTAACAGCCCATTCTATTGCTTCTTAGGGTTCTGGAGTTTGGATTCTGTTTACAAAATGGAAGTTAGGGATACTTGTTCTCCTTTCATATTTTGGAGATTTAAAATATTATCATCAATTTTCAAAGATTTTGTGTCTTTTATGGACTCATTTTACAAGTAATTTTGATTTACTGATAGGTTACTGAACATTTAGAAACAACATAATTTTCCAGCTTACTTTTTATTTGAAGGATCTTTGAGACTTTATCTGCTTCTTAGCTAAGTACTTACTTAGCCCTGTGTGTTCAGTATTTTGAGAATTGCTTTTAATAGATCTGATCTTGCATGCACTTCATCTGCAGAACTCCTCCTCAGGAAATCTACAGCACAATAAACAAAATAAAGAACTTCACCTCAGTGTATCTCCTCAGTGGTTTTATGTGACTTTTACTTCACCTCTTGAACCTCTTCAACACACTGTCAAACTGACTGTGCTCTCTGCTTATCTGAGATTACTTTCTCTCCACTGAAATGCAGTTCATTACTTTCTTCAATGGAATTCTAAACCTGTTCTGTTATAGATTTCTAATCCCTAGAAAGCCCACGCATTATGAAGCAGCCACTGTGCTTGCCATACGGTTAACCTGATTTTCAGTGACCCTGCCACATAATTTTCATTAGGACTATGTGATTAGGAAAATACCACACCAACAAGAATGTGATTCCCCTTGCTGGCTTTCCCTCATTATTCTGAGAAGATTCTGACTATCAGACACCTTTCAGTCTCTAAGGAGAACTGTGACTGCTTCTCCTCAGAAATGTCCTGGTCTTACTTTAAGATATACTCAAGAGCATCGTAAGACTTTGCTTCTCAAGCTCAGAGTGATGGGTGCACTGTTCCCTTTATAGTTCACCTGCTTGTAGAAGAATTAATAAATCAATAGATTTTTTTTAATCTGTTCCAATAAGGATGGCACTCTAACATGAAGCATGTTTCCATACTAGCACACTGTTAGAATAAAAATGGTGTGTGTTATTTTTATCCTGTTTCTGATCACACAAAACATTCTGACCACTTGTGGTCATTAATAATCTTGTGCAGCTTTTCACAGCAATAGAGAACTTCATCAAAATGTCCTTGGAGAATTGCGGCTCATGTAACTGTATATCACATAACTATATCCTTATTTCACCAACTGGGGGGCTCTATCTCATGCCCTGTAACAAGCTGTCCTGAGATTATACTAAATATTTTTCAATAGTAGCAACTGTTAACTTCCAAATTACAGAAATTGCTGTACTTTGAAGGTTAACAGTTGTGAAAGATACTGTATAAATATTGAAGTGTTAATGTTTTGTGTTGTATTTTCTTTGTTGATTTATTTTGGAGTTTTATGAATTATTTGAATGTTACTTTTAGAGATACTTTCCAAAGCTGTGCTATACCAGGCACCTTGGGAGTGATTCCTGCTAAAGAAAGGCAGCTAAAAAGTACTCAGGTGGGTGAACATAATGCTCTTTTCACAAATATACAGAACTTGTTTTCAATTAATACACTGTTACCATGACAGAATTACTCTCCCTTATCTTTATATACACTGGAGTCAGGACTAACAGGCCCAAAGTAATGGTGGCAAGAAATTATGGGGAGTGCACAGGCAACTGAGAAGCAGCATGGCAACAGCTCCAAAGCAGTGATACAAACATATGATGATGCAGTGCCTGAACAAACTTCTCTCAGCATTTTTTGCATCAGCTATTTATTTCAATATTCTGTATATCATCACTAATTTGGCAGGCAAGCAATTTTATTCATTTTAATGTGCCTTTTGTATAAACAGCACATATAAAAGCTCAGTTTTGGAACAGTTCATTAATCTTTATTTGTTAAAGGCTGGTTTGCCACAATGCACTTGGTAGCTGCATCATTTGTGTTATGACATCATCCCAATTTGTAGCAGTAAAAGCTGTAAGAATTCATACAGAGTTGCATAAATATTACATTTACATGTTTGACCAATAATCTCACAGTGGAAAGATATATGGGTTTTCACCTTCCAGAGGCACAAAGGTCTATGTTTCTATTCAGGTCAACATTAGAATGTGCTCCAGTGCCTGGTCACACGGTGTTTTCCCTGCTGATGTAACTAGTTAGAGCAGAACTGTAAGTCTTCCAATGAGACACAATGATTTCCGTGTGGGAGTAGGACATACACTTCACATTTTAGTTTTAAACTGCCTTCTTTTGGTTCAAGGAATCCTCTAGTGCTTTTATTATACCCTCTTGATTTTGCTGCTTTTGTTGACGGGACAGGTTCTGACCTCCTACGATGAGAGGCTTCAGTGCTGTAAACAAGCTGCATGCAGGCTTTTAAAGATGCTCCCAGTTTGGGAACTTGCATCCAATGCATTTTAGCTGCTTGATTTACCTGTAACTTTGATGTGTGAAAACGAGTCCCAGACCATTTGAAGTGGCTCTGTTCCATATATTAAAGTGAGATTGAAATCTAGCAATGACACTTTTTTTTTTCTTTGCCTTTGAATTGACTACTGATCTCAGCAAATAGCACTTTAGTGGTGGAGGTTCCAGCACTGAAAGCTGGCTATGGAGAACCACCTCCCTTAGAGAGACAAGAACACTCTTCTGTCATTGGTTGCTTCACTAACACTTCACTGAACCCAGCTGGGACAAAGTCTTCCAGGGCCTTCTTGGAAAAAATTTTGCCTTTCAGAACCTGACATTTCCCAGCTGGAAGACTATCTGTTTTTATGAAAATAGAAAAGTGAGTGTAGCTCATGGCTATCAAATCCTATTTTTTTTGATGTGCATTCATCATTCATGCTGGTGACCTAATCCCTGTGAAGTCAATATGAGAGAAGAAAAGAAGACAATTCACAGACCCTAAAAGACTCACACACCCATTCAGAAGTCTTCCGTTAAACTCCTTGCAGATGAGTTAAAATAAAAATTATTTGCAGGAAAAGTCTGACAAATAAAGAACATTTGATAAAACTGTGACTTCTTCCACAGACAACTCATGAATAAATTAACAGAAAAGGAGACATCCACCATTTACGTTATAATGATTAATTACCCTTTTAGTTTGCTTCTCAGTCTTCCACTGCCAGGAAGGGACTTGCCATAATCACGACCACGTGGCTTTCTCTTAATATTTTTATCTCATGTTCTTCAGAATTGTCAGGTTTGCAAACAGTGCAAGTAGGTATCGCCCACTGAGTTCAACTGAGTTATGTGATTTACACCAGCAACAACCTTTCACCAGCAGAACTTCTGCCCCTTTTTTCTTCCTCTACTTGCATGAAAAATTTGTTAACTTACACCCGCAATCCCACTGAATCATTCCCCAGGGTAAGTGAAAGTTACATGATTAGGATCTTCAAATCAGAATTCTGATGTGACTTTAGTTACTCTTTCTTTTTTCTTTCCAAAATAGTGTATGGAAAGGAGATGCATACTGCACGAGCATATTCTAAATAGCCTCAACCAGCTGTTTGTCCTTCCATTTTCTCCTATTGCTCTATATCCAGTTCTCCTGACTGATGACAGCTGTGCTTGTGAAAGCATCTAGAGTTACCTAGAACCTAGGAGAAAAGGGACCTTTTGAGTCTTAAGTATCTAGAGACCTTGAGCTGTCTGGATACCTCAGTATACACAAACTGTTGTACACTCTGGAAACAATGACTCACCTTACTATCTCTCTGTATCTCTGGATGGCTGATAAATACATGTAAACCTTTCATAGCATCATGAATGATGCTATAGGACTTCACTTCCCAAAGGGTGTGGCTCACATAACACTCATAAAATGGACCCCCCCTCCCCTTCCCATCATGCCTAATGACACCATATATCAGTCAGTACCATAGCACTGCTTGCCATCTGATCTTTGAGGAGCACACAGCAGCTTGGGCTCAAAACTGTAAAATGCTGCCAGCTGCAGTTAGCTGAGCTCGAGATGTATTTCACCTGCAACATTTGATTCCCCCCCTCCTCACTGAGATGCATAAAACCTCCTAATAAACATCACTATGAGAAAGAGGACTTTTATCTATCTCTCTTAGGAGAGTTATCCATCACTTGGAGTCTCTGAAAACAGCCTGTGTTATGAACTCGTAGATACAAAGAAGCCACAGATATCAGAGACGTTCGTAAATGGTCAGGCCAGAAAGAGCCATTACATTGAAGAGGAAACCTCCTACCTAGGTCAGATACCTACCTGTGATTATTGAGCTACCCATGTAATGAGCCCTACCCTGCCCCTTAATACATTTGTGTAATTGCCAGAAAGGCACTAAAACATCAAGATATGGTGAGTCTGCTGTCTACAGACAGGTCTTGCAGCAGTTACCTGTGCCTTGGTTAACCCCGCTGCCACCCTCTCCCCGTATTACCTTTGGTGACATTGTTCAGGGAAGAGGATCACTGAATTAATAGGCTATAAGAACAGGACCTGCTTGCAGAAACCAAAACGCAAAGCTGAGCTCCAGGCCCTGAGTTGCAGGTGGAGACTCCTCGCTGAGCTAGGGCAGTTTTAAGATCACTTGAAGCTATGCTGAGTTTTTTCATGTCAGTTTATCTCAAAGCTATTTTAAATTGCAGTCTGCCAAAACCTCCAAGGGGCCATTATGACAGTTGGAGATTACAAATGAATAAAGATTTCTAGTATGTCCCCTTTCTAATACTTGCTGCAGGGTTGTAGGATGAAAATTGAGGACACTATCTTCTTAAAGCTCTCCCACATTTTCTCACTTTTCAGATAATCTTTCTCTTTTCCAATTCTCTTTATCATTTTATCTCATTTCCCGTGGCTCCTTCCATTGGCCTCACCCCTGGTTTGTTCCATATTCTGCATCCTTCCCTTCTTATCCTGCCCTCAGCAGCTCCATTTCTCACTGAAAGCCCTCTCCAGTACTATCAGCTTTGCCTGGTATGCTTTAGGCCACTGTCAGCTTTCCTCACATTCAAGGCTCATCTTTCTCCCTGCTCCCTATGTCTTACCCCCTCCCCGTCAAGTACCATGAGCTGCTATAAATTTTCACATGTATTTATTTCCCTCACAAGCTTCTCCAACGTATGTTCTGCACTTTCACTTTTTTGCTAAGCAGTTTCAATACCCTGTATTTCCTCTTTCAAGTCTGTTTGCACCACCAAAGTCTCTCTTCACCCATCTAGAACTACTTCTACTCCAAGTTATTCCTCATCTCTTTTCTTCTGTAATGATCTTTGGAATTATCAGCTCTCTTGAAACATTCCTTATAACCCTTCTGTCTTCTGAAAGTCCAATTTTCTTTAATAGATAGGCTGGTGTGGTCTGTATAAACCTTTAATTTACATGTACCACTAGTGTTTCAGTGGCCTCAACAATACTGTTTCCAATGGAAAGTGCTATTCTGAAGCATGCATTGTATTTACATTTTTCTTTAGCTGTAGAGTCAAGCATGTTTTCATGTTCTCATTCACATGAGAGAAGCTTTCACTGTCATTCCCTGCTCTATGATCTAAAATGACTCTCTCACATTTTTTTCCACTTTTTGTTTAGCTATAGCTGTCCTAGTAGAAAGTTATCTCAACAAACCCCAAATAAACACAAGTCACACCACTGAAAATAAGAATAAAGCAGACAAATCTCTGCTTAGATACATTACAAAACAGAAAACACCATATGACAAAAATACTCAGGGAATTCTGTGTGCACCATGTATCTTAGCTCCTCCTGAAGCCCCCTCTCATTTGCAGTGGCAAAATACCTGACAGTAGCTTACTAAAGGTTAACATAATGCTGCAGCAATATTTTCCTTTCTTTCCATCAGTGAATTTATTTTGCCAATGGTCTCAGCCTCAGCAAAACTGCTTCATCTCTATTTAGCTCATATGGGGCTGAATCCTACAGCAGTAGTCCCAGTGAAGTCGGTGGAAGTGCTGACTCTGTAAGACCAGATGTGTCCCGCTGAATAATTACCCAGAGCTGAATGAACTCCCAGAAACTGTGTGTTCAGACAAGCATTTGCATCTCAAAGTTGTTAACCAAAGCAGGAGCCCCACTAGAACAACCTTCCCCACTGCCTCCCTGTAATGCCATCACTGATCTCTTCAAATAAATATTTCCATTAAAATAAAAACCAAACCAAAACCAAAATCAGATAGAGATAAGATTTCAGCAAAAGGAAATGATCCAGTATTAGGCAACAAAAGATTGGAGCACTAAACCGTTCCCAACTGTAAGTCAGTTTGATTCTTTAACAGGGGTCAGCTGTTCTTTTCTGCTGTAGAACTACATGCAAAAAATCCTACCAGTATCTCACTTTCTGAAGAAACTGAAGTACGTTGGAGGTTTGGGATGTTGGAACTCTTATTATGTTGAGGAGTTGAGGAGTAACCACAGCATTTAGCAATTCAGCTATTAGAGTAGTATCTTATTGCTACATATTTTCTAACTTTTCTTCCACATTTTTATTTCCAGCCAGTGCAGACACATTCTGTGAGAAAACAGGGGAGAAAAGGGTGCTGATAAGGGTGCTGATAAGTGTGCTGTTCACTCCTCCCACCTCTTTGTTCTCAAAGGAATTGAAATCCAATGACCCTGTGCCACTGGTGGGATAGAGAAGAATATGGAGAGAGAAGGTCTAAAATTCTGGAGATTCATGAAAGGGAAGAAAAATTCCCTTTTGTAGCCTTTGTGGAGAGGCCCCACTGTTTCCCAAAGCACAAGACAGAGGGCTAGTCACTTGAGATTGAGCTATTGCGCAATACTTTTGCTCAATGAAGAACTTTACACCTGGGAATGCCTTCTTCCTAGCGAGAAACAGTGTAAAAAATAGAGTGTTCATTAAAATACTCCCTCTGAGGCTGTTTTCTAAAGCAATGTGCTTTTAAATTAACGTCTTTTGGCTCTGACTTACCACCCTGAGCCCAACTGGACGCTGTGCTGCAAACCAGAGATTCTTCCAAGTGCCACAGCTCTAGTTAAGCTGACGCCTGAGTAACAGTATCGCAGAAAGATGATACAGGACAACAAATCCATGCTGTCAGAAGCTCCATGCCACAAGAATAAAGAAATATTTCATTCTTAGCAGTCAACTTTTTTTTTTTCTGTTATTACTGTTTCTCCTGCTAACCTCATACGCCTGCCACAGTCTTCAGACTTCCTTTCTGCCAGGTATGCTGGGTTCATTAAATACAAATGTTTAAGCCCAGAGGAAACCTGAGAAAGCCCAAACTTACACACGTGTTCATAATTTGTGAGCTGTCTCATTGTACGTGTCAAAGGCCTGAGGATATCCCCCTGTCCTGCAGCAGGGCTCAGGGCCAACTTGGAGCTGGGGCAGCCTTGCCCCACTGGGGCTGTGGGGGCATCTCGAGATGGAGCCCCTCCTGGAAGCCACAGCAGCTCAGGAGCCTTGGGGCAGGCCCCATGGCATGGAGCTCTGGGGGGGACAGGTTGTGCATAGCTCAGGGTCCAGTCCCTGTAGGGCTGGCTTAGAAGTTGAAAGGACCTGAGCTCACTCTCACAGTAATCAGACCTGGTCCAAGCCCAGCTGAAAGCCCTCCCAGTGCTGGGGGCATCTCTGGCTGCATCCTGCCCGTAGAGCAAGGCTGTCTATCCATGCTCCCCCATGGAGCATGGCCCCAAGGGAACAGTCCTGCTTGCTGCAACATGATCTGAGCTGGCCTCGAGCCCCAGCGAGGGGACATTGCCAAGGGCGCTGGCAGCTGGACCCCAGTACAGGAGGGCATTATTTATTATCAAATAGAAATGTCATGCTAGAAGCTATGGCGATACAATTGGGCAGTGCTGCTTTTGTAGTGTTTATCTGACTGGAGGAAAAAGAAACGGTAAAAAAACCCCATGTTGTTGAGGGACTGTTTGACAACTGCCAAAGCAGGGTGCTATTTTTTACATCTATCACTGTGACTTTTGAAGTGCTGGTAACATGAGTACCAGGGGCAGCTCTTACCTTGGCACCCTCTTACCTTGGCACCAGTAGCGTTCACCTCCACCAGGACTTCATAAACCCCAGTAAAACCTTCCCAAATCTCATATCCCTGTTGCACCAAGCACATCAGCACACATGCTGACACTACAGCATAGGGCTTCTGTTCTGTAGCCCATGGTGGGGACACCTACCACCTAAAAGTCATTAGAGCTCCCACTAAAAAAGACAGCTTCAGAAAGACAACTGGACATTTTACACCAACAATAACCCTGCCACAGCCCGCTTCTGAACAGCCAGTTGACTGGCAGTGTGTAATTACACTTGGATTAAAACTTACAGGAGCTCTCTGATTTTATTTTTCCCCAGAAATCTCCATAAGGAAGATAAAATAGTAAATGTCAAACAAAAACAAATTCTGCAGGGAAACTCAAATTAGTTCTGCTGACAAACCCAAGAGCTTATTAGGTTATGAGCTTATCTGGGGAGACCTTAGAGCAGCCTGACAATACGTAAAGTGGGGCTACAAGAAAGCTGGAGAGGGAAGTTTACAAGGGCATGTAGGGACAGGACAAGAGGGAATAGCTTTAAACTGAAAGAGGATAGATTTAGATTAGAGAAGAAAGAAATTATTTACTGTGAGAGTGCTGAGATACTGGAACAGGTTGCCAAGAGCTGTGGAGAACACCCTCCCCCCCCCTCCCCGGCAGTTTTCAAGGCCAGGTTGGACGGGGCTTTGAGCAACCTGGTCTAGTGGAAGGTGTCCCTGCCCATGGCAGGGGGTTGGAACTGGATGATCTTTAAGGTTTTTGCCAACCCAAACCATTCTATGATTCTAATGATTCTTGTTACTCCCAACAAGGTCATATACTGCAGCAGAAGGGAGCACGGACCTTTCATGTCAACAACACTCTCCGGTGCAGTTCATGTTGGGACAGGTGAGCTAGAAACAGAGCTTGGTTTTCAGATGAGACATCATCGGTCCTTTCTTCGGCTTACCTGAAAAGTGGGAGTTATGAGCCACACTGCCACGAATAAACAGTGCAGCATAGAAGAACAGGGCTTTGGTGTTATCCTGATCAAAATGGCATCCCAACCATAGTGAGCAGGAGAGGAGAAGGCCAGAGAGAGCAGCTGCAACTCAGGTTCATTCCTTGGTATCTTTCTGGGGCAGGGCCGGTATAATCTAGCCCTTAATGTTCAAGTTACTGGTGGAGAGTACTATAAATATGGAACATCAAAATGTCATTTGCACAGTCACTTTAAACAGGTATGTCCTAGCACTCTCTTCCTTCTGTATAGGAGAGATAATAATCTGTTAAACTTTCTCCTGGAACCATATTTTAGCATTTTAATTAGAGACCCAACACATGCACTAAACACACTCTCAGTAAAGGGCACGCCTTAATAAAGTCAGTACAGCATGCTTCTGTAACCTAGCAAGGTCACTACCTGAGAGGAATCACCAACAAGGCAACTGGCTTACTGCCAGGACAACCAGCAAAGTTACCGGGGCCTATTTAGAGAAGGGCACTGCTGCTGCTGTTGGCCAGTGGAGGAGCACAAGAGAGGCAACGTGCTGCCACCTATCCACACCAGTGTTCATCCGCAAGAGAGCGAATTAATTAAAATTTAATTATTATTTCTTTCTAATGGGAGGGCTGCTACTGGTCTCTTATTACTGCTGACGGGTGCCCTGGAGGAAGCCTATGCCTCTCTTCCTCCTTTGAGCACCATCTCCCTCTGCTGTCTGCCCGCAGACCTGCGCTTTGGCACCAGGAGGTGACCTCTGAAGCATAACTGAAATAAGTCAGCAGAAAGATTGGACAAAAACCTTGCAACTCTTTTTGTTGCTTAACACTACTTACTTTTGTCAGAAAAACTTTAACGTCAGGAAAGCTCAGTCCCAAACACTGGAGGCTTTCCAGTGGAAAATACATACACAAAGAGCAGCCAGGAAACACATTTTCCCTTTACAGACCTGCCCAACCAGGTTCCCATTACCAGGAAGATGTAATAAGCAGTAACGGCTTGTTCTGTGAGAGGGAAGTAACCTGAGCTTCTAAGCAGTAGAGATCCTCTGAAGAGAGGTGAATATGAAAAGTGTTCTTAGTGATTGCTTTTTGATGGAAAGAAAACATGGAACAAATCTCTGACCAAGGCAGGGGTAGTTCTTGCATGTGCTTGTATCCATATGTGAGATACCAGGACTCAGAGTGCCAGTTCTGAGAACAGTCGATGAAGTGCATGGGCTGGATAGCACCTCTGAGCAGTCTAAAATAAAGTTTGAATAAAGGCATTACCCTGTCAATTTTTACTGGCATGGATGATTAAGTCCTTGTGAGTTTGATGATCTTCAACCCTACTTCAGACAGCGTTCTATCAGTCTCTCCAAGAGGTTCTGTGTGCTTCTTTGTTTGCAGATCAGCAGAAGTCCCACATCAATTGCAGTCCTGAAAGGTAAAGTGCCAATGCACTTAGGCTCAGGATTTTGCTTTAGCTGATATTTTCTCAACTTTTTCTATGAGAAAATCCAAAAGCTCATTTCCTTTCAAAATTTCACAAGGTGAGCTCACACTAGCTTTGCAGTGTCAATAGATATTTTTATGTTCTCCATGACAACACTGTCCTGAGTGATCAAATGCTTATTAAATCATGGATTGCAAGCATGAGGCTACAGTCTTGATGGTTTTCTTTTTGAAACCCAAGTAAAATAACTTGCTGACTGTACTGCTTGAATTCTTGCAGGCAGTGTCTTAAGTTCTACTATGATTTAACAGGGCGCAAAATTTATTCTTCCTTGGTTGGGAGTCTTTCAGCACAGTCAGTGTATGCATGTGAGGGAACATTTTGCCCCTTGCTATTTAATGTACACATCACAGTTCAAATTCTTCTCTTAAGCATGCTTAGTGTGAGACAGAGTAAGTGATATTTTATTTATGCTAGCAGTGGGTGAGGTGCTGAAATTTTCATTATTCCGGTTTTTAATAGTGTTGAACAAGGAGTGTCATCATGTTTCTCAGTCAGCACCTTTTTTTTTTCTTATGACCTCTAAGTAGAAACACTGTGAGAATCTTGCTCCATACAAATTAGGACAGAGACTGGAGCAGAAGTTCAGCATCATTCTGTAGCTCTGTGCAGTACCTCATGCATCCTATGAATGATAGGGGGTAGGGGGTGGGATTCCCAGTTTTCAACAGACAGAGCATTCAGTCATCAGTGGCACTGCCCTGTTGGGGTTACAGTGTAAAGTAATAAAACAGGGTGCAGTATCAGACTAGGGAGAAACCCAACCCACACACATCAATCTCTCTGGGTGGATCCAGGAGAGCAAGGAGTTTTCAGAATTCTCTGCCCCTTGGATCCCAATGGCTCCTTGGCAGAAAACCAAATACTCACATTAGCCATCTCAGAACAGCTTCCTCAGGTTTCTAGTGCCCAAATAACCTGGCAATATTGTGCTCTTGCTGTCACTAGGACATCTTCCCTAAAAACTATATGGCTTTTAATTCAGGTACTGGTTGACTGTTTTAGCATTTCTACTTTTACCCTGTACCTTATTCCAGAAAAATATAAATCAAGCAACAGAAGGGCAACAATTACAACATCTCTATTATACATGGACCCAACATCTACCAATACCACTGCCCATGCGCACTACTGAACTAGTATACTAATGATGCTACTGCTTTAATTAGCCATGCTACTGTGGCTGTACCAGACTCTT